GGGGTGTGCAGGAGGCAGCCAATCAATGATTATCTCTCATCATTGATGTTTCTCTCTCTCTCTCCCTTTCTCTCTGAAATCAATAAAAGTATTAAAAAATAAAAGAAATATGATTTGTAAAATATATATTTAATTTTGTATACTCATTCTTTGAGACGAGGCTCAATTTTTACCTCCTCAAGTCTCTAACTCCCAGTAGCTGAGATGATAGCGTCAAATTTAAGGTTCTAAAGGCGCTTATACACCGAATGACATTGCTTATGTATTTCTATGCTCTTTAGACTATTAGTAACCTGATGGCAGGGGCTGCACGGTATTTCTCTTTCAGGGTCGATAGCCCCGCACAGTGCCTGCTATATCACTGGTGCTCAGAGATATGTTGAATAAGACGGTCCACTCCATAAATGTGCTGAGCCTGGTGGTCTTCATATTCTGATGCAACATTCCTTTGGGGCATCTCAGTCTCTTTTCAGAACCCTGACATCTCAGACTACATTTCCTGTACACAGTCAACTGCCTCCATTTTCTTTTGAAAGGCTGGAAGGATGAAATAGGCCTATGTGTGACGGGCCCAGGTTGGGTTATGTGCCTGAAGAGTGGGCAAAGAATGTGGGTGGTGGTGGGGGTGGGGGTGGTGCAGAGTAGGGTGCTAAGTGGAGCGAGAGAAGAGCGTCTGTACAGCAGAGACCCACGATGGGGGCTGGGCCTGGGGAGGTGATTCTGACCGGGGGCCAGGAAAGATGCTGAAGTTGTGCTGGAATCCCCTCCTGCAGTCACTGCGGCACACCTCCCAAGTGATGTTCATTACAGATATTTTCATAGGCACATGCTCTCCTTTTGTGTTCATTTTTTCCAAGTTCACTACTAGCTCTTAAAGATTTCCTGTGAGGTTTCTCTTTTCTGCATTTCCTCCTGCCATGGACTATGTACACAGAGAAGCGAACCTCGTGCTTGTGGCGGTGCTGGGTGCTGGGTACAATGACAAAGGAAGGCGGATGTGCAGTCTTCCTGCTGCTCTGTGTCACCTCCCTCTGTTTCCCGAACTGGCCATTCCAAATCTTTGCCCTTCTCCTTGAGGATCCTACTCTGCTCGCTTCCTTGTTGCCATGTCCTGTCTTCCTCACCCTCAATCTCTCAGCACACGTGCCACTTTCTACTCCACAGAAGCCGTGAGGCATACACGCCCGTCTCTCTCTGCCTCTCTCCTCCCTCTGCCCCAATAAAATGCACCTATACCCACCATTCCAATGTTGGGGGAAGGTGCTCCCTCGACCAAGTCAAGGATGATCCTCCAGCCTGGTTCCATCACCTCCTTCCTCCTGAGATGATCGCTCTTCACTTCCCTGATCTCCTGCGTCTTGTAACCAACTGCCTATTTAACATTTCTACTTGGGGAGCTAACACATATCTCTAACTTAACATGCTTAAAACTTTTTCCAGTTGCTCAGACCTAACCACTGTTAGAGTCATTTTTTATTTCTCGTTTTCTCTCATACCTCACATTCCATCTTTCAACAAATCTTAGTGATTTTCTTTTAAAATATATCCAGAACCACTACTTTAATCCTGGTCCAAGCCATCTGCTTCATGTCTTGCCTGGTTTATTGTGGTGGCCTTCTAAATAATCCCCTGCTTCTGTCCTTGCCGCTGCACTGCACTCTCAGCACCTAGAAGGGTCCTGTTCAAACCTAAGTCACATACTGACTACCCTCTGCTCAGACTCTTCCAAACATGTCCCATCTCACTGAGGGCAAAGCCAATACCTTTACAAAGACTCCAGGCTTCTCCGGACTTCATTCTTCTCCTCCACTCACGCTTCTCTGGCCTCCTGGCTTTTCCTTCAACATGTCAGGGATGCCCCTGCTTCAGGCCTATAACATCACCTGGGGTCCTTCTAGGTTCATCTCCACATTCAGACTTACAAGAATATCACAAACCTCCCTCAGCACCAGAATCACTTAGAAAGGTAGAGGATGGAGTCACAGCTTGCCAGCACGGTGACATCAGGCTTCCCCCTTTGGGGGATCTTGTCACTGTCTGTGTAGTGGTCCACGCTGCTGCCCAGAAGCTAGGCTCTTCCTGAGCCTCTCCTTCCCGGATCATCCCGGGTGCAAGGAAAAGACTTCCACTGTAGGCAGAGTCTGGATTTACCCTGGCTTAAAAGCCTTATGTTCCAAAGGAGCCCATATCTCTTGTAACCCAATAGATACCTCTTCCACGTGTCAAAGGACATGCCTAGTTACTAATGTCACCACAATCACGGAAGTTCTATGCTATGGCTTCCTACCAGCCCAGCCGCCGTTGACCAATCAGCAGTCACTTACATCATAAACAATGTTGCCTAGTAACACTAACATTCTACCTTTATCAGATCTCCAGAAACACAGAGTTAGCAAGCTGAGAAAGTAAATGTCAAATTCTCCCACAGAAAGGTCCTGTGTGAACCCTCTGCCTATGTGTTCCTTGCTCTTGCTGTTCCCTCTGCCTGGAAGGCTCCTCCCCGGACATCTGCATGGCCTGCTCCTGCACCTCCTGCAATTCCTTGGTCTAAGTCCCCTTCAGGTCAGCCTGTTTGAGAATTGCAACACCTAATCTCAGCTGCTGGGACCTCCTACAGTCCTCGTATGTTTGATTTTTTTTACATTGCCCTTATTACCTTCTAACATATGTAATTTACTAATTGATTTTCCTTCTGCTGCTGGTTTTTTCCATAGAATGTAAGTTCCCTAAGGTTGGGACATTAATTCTTTTATTTTTTCCCCGCCTGTATTGATAATTCTTGGCTCCTAGAACAGTGCCTGGCACACAGTAGGTTCTTCAACAACTATTTGTTTTATTTATAGATGAATTTATGCCTTTCCTCTCTTTCAAACTCTAGGTTTTCATTGCTCTTTTTTTTTTTTTTTTTTTTTTTTTGGAGAAAGGGAAAGGGCAACATTTTTTCAGCCAAGTAAAAGGTAGCATGGTGTTAGGGATTAAGAACAGGAAAGTTGGGGCCAAACTGTCTGGATTTGATAAGGGCTTTGCCACCCACCTTGGGAGGATGCCCAAAACGCTCTGTGCCTGAGCTGTCTCATTTGTAAATGGGGATAATAACAGTACCTCCGTCTTAGGATTGCCATGAGGATGAATGAGTTAAAATATATGTAATATGTTCAGAATAATGCCTGACACAGAGGAAGCACTACGTGTTAACTAGAGTTAAAATCAGCTTTAAAAAGGCCTTTATTTTTACTCTGCACCACTTCTATTTTTCTCTCTTCCAAACCCCTCTTCCTCTCAGCTGTTTTACCTGAAAGTCACATCTACCCCACAGCCTTTTGTTTTCAATTACAGTTTACATTCAATATTATTTTTTACTGGTTTCAGGTGTACAGCAGAGGGGTTAGGCCAGGGGTGGGCAAACTTTTTGACTTGAGGGCCACAATGGGTTCTTAAACTGGACCGGAGGGCCGGAACAAAAGCATGGATGGAGTGTTTGTGTGAACTAATATAAATTCAAAGTAAACATCATTACATAAAAGGGTACGGTCTTTTTTTTTTTTTTTTCATTTCAAACCGGCCGGATCCGGCCCGCGGGCCGTAGTTTGCCCACGGCTGGGTTAGGCAATCGTATACTTGACAAAGTATTCGTCCTAATATTTCAAGTACCCAACTGGCACTGTACATGGTTATTACAGTATTACTGACAATATTTCCTATGCTGTAATCTACATCCCTGTGACTATTCTGTAAATGCCAAGTTGTACTTCTGGGTGCAAACGGTGAAGGGATTCTGAAGTACCTTGCCCCAGCCTTTACTTTAACTTCCATCCACCCACTGAAACTAAGATTTCTAATGGCCTAGTTGCTACTTTTCTCTCCGTAGTCCATGAACTAGTTGCACTGCCTGCCATCATTAACCACACCTGCCTTTGACTTCTGAGCCCCTCCTCCCGTTTCCATCCGTTCTTACAGCTGCCCCTTCTTACCAGTAGTCTTCTTCAGTTGCACCCTTTTTTCTTCAATCACTCTTTAATGTTATCCCTAACATCATCTCACTGGCCAGTTCCCCTTGAGTGATTCCATTCACGGGCATGGCTTCAACTCTCATGCTGATGACACCCACTGAATTTCCTGAAGGTGCCCTGTTCTTTCTCATGTCCATGATTTAGAACTTCCCTTCCTCTTCCTGGCACCCTCTCCACCCTCATCTCCCTCTCCCTAACTTCAGCTGGTTGTCTAAATTTTAATACAACCATCCCCTTTTCTCTTGTTCCCAAGCCAAGCACTCCTCCTTTGCACTCCCTTATTACTTATGGATACATCCATCTTAGTATAACACAACCTTTCCTGATTGCCAGTTTATTCAGTTTTACCCCCGAAATAAACACTCTCTCTCTCTCTCTCTCTCTCTCTCTCTCTCTCTCTCTACACACACACACACACATATATATATATATATATACCCTCAAAGTACAGTGCCTGGCACATAGTAGGCATACAAAAATTACCTGGATTCAATATATGAATACATAGCATCTATACAGAATAAATTTTGATTGGGCTACCTTTTAATTCAAAACTAAACAATGGATAAAATTAAGAATGATATCTCATAAAAATGTTCTTCCAGAAAATATTATCAGGGGTTAGTGAAGAGGTAAAGAAAAGAGTTCCATTTTGACAATATAAATGGCGCTGTGGCTATACATGCTAGATTTTACCATAAAGCCAACTTTGAAAGATAAAGGACTTCCTTTAATGTTAGCGACATCAAATACTATTTGACTCCCCTTACTTCTGTTTGGGCCCAGTGAAACCTTACGAGTACCATATTTACCTTATTAGGAAAGTCCAGTAAATCAGGGATTCAGGCTCCCTGCCATGATCAAAAGCATCATCCATAAGGACTGAAGAGCAACTAACATTTACTTGGTGAAAATCACAGAGCCAGCTCTTGTAAGGGTTTCAATGACCATCGTGCTGTGGCTCCATCTGACATGAGTCTAGGCACCTACCTGTAAAGTACAACCAAACACCCCGATCATCAGCATGGCCACGGAGAGGTAATCGGTGAACACATCCCACCACGGCTTCAGCACCCGGAAGGCAGGCTGCTGCTCAGAGAACTGCCGGAACTCTGTCACGGGAATCATGTTTCTGAGAAAGGAGAGATTACTGGTGAACTCATTGATCTGCATGCACAACATACTCCATTGTTAACAGTATTCGAGATGCTGCTTCAACCCTCCAGAAATAGTGATCTGAGTTACAATAGTAGTGATCGCGGCACGTTGGTGTTTTCATTGACTAAAATAAGGGGCCTCACAGGAAAAAGACAAGTTCCTTCACTCACTACTGTCCAATAAGCTGGTTCCCTTTGGCTCCACATGGACCAGACAGTCCATGGCAGAGCAGTCTCAGAATCCATTATTTCCTGGATTCTCTCTTAAACAGAACAAGAGGGCACCAGAGAAAGCAGAGCCTAGCCTTAGAGATATTTTTGCTATTAATCTTACCATTTTGGGTTGTTGCTTTAAACTATTTTGTAAGTGTCATCTCAGCATTGGTTTTTGTTCATTTTCTACTGTGCCCTATAGGTTAAGTATTTTGCTTGCTCTTTGGGAGGCAAACAACTTTGCCATATGGTCCTTGTCTTGTAAGAGGGAAGATTTTCATTGATGGTGGTAGTAGGGGTAGAGGGGGACTGGGGTGATCTTCACTTTGTTGCAAGCCCCTCCCCCTTTTTGGTCCCTGTTCTTTTGACTTGATATCTTTTTCTATTCCTGTACTTATCACATTTTACTGTAAGCCCCAAACTTATCCTTTATCTCTTTTGAGAAATCAGTTGGTCCTGAAAACGTCTTACCTCTATCTAAATGACAGAAGATAAATGAATAGGCCGCACTGGAGACTCTGGGAAAATGGGAATCGGCCGCATCCTTTTCTTAGTCTGTATTCCCCTTTCTCAGCGCTCAGTCCCACTGCTTTTATTAAGATCAAGGACTTGAAGCTACTCATCCTGCTACTGTGAGAAGGAATATTCTTTCCTTACCTTAAGGCAACAAGAAAGAGTGGCCAAGGAGGACTAAAAGGAAATTTTTCATCCTTTTGCCATCGTTGGATCCAATAATCTAGCTCACTACTACATTTGTCCTGGTTATTAAAGAGTCTAATTAAGACAGGGGGAAGGCTACATTTAATGCTTATTCTCCCAAGCCTTCTTTGTTTCCTGGAGCTCTCTTCCCTAATGCTGAATTAAAGGCTGTACAATAAACAGCGCAAAGAAAAGCCACTGTTCTTTGAATTTACTGGTGGTTATCTTTGGAAACCATTATAATGTTACCCATTCTGTCTTGCTGCTTTATCTGACCTTTTCTTAAGCAGCAATATGTCTTCCTCTTGGATTTGTTTCTTAATACAGTGTTGAAAATTCAGCTGCTTGGTGTAGCTCTCACCTAAGACCTATCTACTTGGCATCTGTGCATTTGATATGACTTCCTTATTTTACCAAAACACAACTTTCTTAATTCCATTTTGTTACTAACACTAGGCTGCAAGCTATTTGAAGGTAGAACCTATGTTACACACATGCATTCTCCAAAACATGTTGTAGGTAAGCCACACAAGCTAAATAAATGTGTATTCTTAGTGCCATTAAAATTCCAAACTAGCTCAAAGTTTGATTTTTCTGACACTTCATAACCTCTTTTCTCAATGAATCATTGCAATCTCACTGCCCTGAATGTTTTCAAGTCATGGTTGTTCCAGCAGTAGTCACAAACAGACACCAGCTCATCTTAATTTCCAAGCTTGCTTCAGAAGCTATCATCTTCTATTTCACATCCCCATCACTCACCGCAACGTCTGCGAACAAGAAACCCTCAACACTGTCTGTTGAGTAAATAAATGAGTGAATTCGGATGATTGTTCATGGAGCAACGCTTGTCCAAATCAGATCTGGGGTGGCCCTACTCTGCTGCAGTGACAAGTTCAGTACCTGTGCTCTAGTCCACCTTCTTTGATAGATTTGGTTGCTGTGTCCTTCATGATAGGTTGCTGGACACCTTGGAAGGATTTGGGCTTACTCTTTGAAGTGGGGAGCAATTTCAGGAATAAAATGCACCTATGTAAAGAACTGGTTCTCAAACTTTTTAATCTTGTCCTGGCTGGTGGTTAGAGTGTCGGCTATCACACCAAGGGTCACAGGTTCAATTCCTGGTCAAGGGCATGTACCTGGGTTTCAGGTTCAATACCCAGCCTGGTTGGGACTTTTGTAGGAGGCAATCAATCGATGATGTTTCTCTCACTTTCCCCCTCCATCCCTCTCTTCCATTCTTTTAAAAATCATGGAAAAATATCCTTGGGTGAGAAATAACAAAAACAAAACAAAAAACCCCAAAACTTTTTGATCTCAGGACTCCTTCACATTCTAAAATAGATGGGGTGCTCAAAGAGCATTTTTTAAAATGTGGGCTGCACTTATCAACATTTACTATATTAGAAGTTAAAACCAAGAAATTAAAAAAATATATTAACTCATTTAAAATAATAAACCCATTTCATGGTAACATAAAATATGCTATAAAAATAATTATATTCTATAAAACAAAAAATAAGAATGGCATTGTTTTACTTTTTAAAAAAATATATTTTATTGATTTTTACAGAGAGGAAGGAAGAGGGATAGAGAATCAGAAACACCGATGAGAGAGAAACATCGATCAGCTGCCTCCTGCACACCCCCACTGGGGATGTGCCCACAACCAAGGTACATGCCCTTGACTGGAATCGAACCCGGGACCCTTCAGTCCGCAGGCCGACGCTCTATCCACTGAGCCAAACCGGTTAGGGCTTGTTTTACATTTTTGCAAATCTCTTGAACATCTGGCTTAATAGAAGATAACTGGGTCCTCATATCTGCTTCTGCATTCAATCTGTTGAAATATGTTGTCTTGATTAAAATTTATGAATCAGATACATGTTTGGAAAAGGGAGAAGTACCTTCATAGCCTTTTCATATAATTGTGGATATTAATTTTTGATAACATATCAAACTGACTTGGTTAGCTGCAATATGGAATCTGAAAACTATCAACTTTTCAAACTCCTGATATTAATACTCATTCACCTATCTTGCACTTTGAATAGATCTTTTACCTACGCATGATTTTTAACAATATGCATTGGTCATCTGGAGAATATTAGATCGCTGAGTTATGTAGCTCTTCCAAATGTTTACAAATTATATTAAAATTCATGCTCATGCCCTGGCCGGTTTGATCAGTGGTTGGAATATCTGCCCATGGACTGAAGGGTTGCAGTTTTGATTCCTGGTCAAGGGAATGTACCCTGGTTGTAGGTTTGATCCCTGTTCCTGGTAGGGGAGCGTGTGAGAGGGAACCAATCGATGTGTCTCTCTCACATTGATGTTTGTCTCTCTTTTCCCTTCCTACATCCCTCCACTCTCTCTTTAAAAAAAAAATCAATGGAAAAAATATCATTGGGTGAAGATTAAAAAAAATCATATTCATTAATATCACCACTACTTTCATCAGAAATGCTTTTAAGTAATGCAAAGCTGTCAAACTCATAGTGGTGAGTACAAGATTTCCAAAATTTTAATCATCATTTGAAAGTCTGAATTTCATTTCTGGCAGCACGTATAACTGATATATCAGTTGTTCTTTTTAAAGTGTCATTTTGTTCATTTTGAAAAAATATCTTCCACATACTGAAGTCTGAATAATCATTTGTTTCATTCAAGTAAAAATGGTGAAATATGATAAAGGAGCTAATTCAACTTTCAACTCAAGTAAGGACTTTCTCTTGAGACACCCATTATACTTATTTTATATGTCCTTCACCCTCACCACAGGGTATTAATACAATATGCAGTCAAGGGTTGAGAGTTATTAAAATCGTAATTTTACTGCTTCAATGAGGACATTACATAAAACTGGCCATTTTTTTTAAAGCAGTGTGTGCAAATGAAGACTACAATCTCTATAGTACAGTCTGGTGCCTCTATTTTGATTCATGCTAAGACACCTCACTCACCATCGCTTTTGTACCACCAGTGAAAAAGGCAAAAAACATCTTAGCATTAAAAAATAATTTGGGCCCCGCCTGGGTGGTTCAGTTGGTTAGAACATCATCCCATACACCAAAAAGTTGTGGGTCTGATTCCCAGTCGGCACATACCTAGGCTGAGGGGGAAGAACCGATCAATGTTTCTTTCTTACATCAATGTTTCTTTCTCTCCCTTCCTCTCTCTCTAAAAATCAATAAAACATATCCTCAGAAGAGAATTAAAAAATAATTTTGACCTTGTGGACCCCTTAAAAAGGTTTAGGCTACCAGGGTTCCATGAACCACACTTTGAGAACCACTAAGATAGAGGCTCATGTTCCTTTATCTATAACTCTCCTTGAAAAAAATCCTGGGCATTCATTACAGGTGAGGTGCCCCAAGGCTTTGGCTGAATTGTCTTCACAGGCATCATTCTCTTAACATGGAAAATAGACTAAGAATCTAAGAAACTTAAGGGTTATCTACTGCTTCCTAATATTGGCACAGCCTAGTTAAGATGGATTACAAGACTTGTTAGAGAAACAGCTGGTCAAAATGACATAGCCTTTCAGTGTTATCACTCAACTCAATGTAAATAACCTCTTGTGTGTGTGTGTGTGTGTGTGTGTGTGTGTGTGTGTGTGTGTGTTTATGTGCACCTTGTATGTACATGCTCATATATGTATGTACATAAATACTACATATAAATGTAGTTAGATGTATAATATACACACAGATGTAAGTACATACAGACTTTATTGTTTTAACATATCACAAGGCTCAAAGTCTAGCACAGCAGTAATCTTTGGAATAAGTTTTAATGCAAAAAAAGGGGGGAGTGTTGAATAAAAACTCCAAAACTGAAAAGAGGATGATAGACCTTTTGCTTTCTTAACTAAAAACTGTTTAGTATTCTTCTTACACAAATTTCAGCACCTCTGAAAGTCATACATTACAGTGACAACCACACTTGATTTCTTTCATTATTATTAGTTTCCATGTGATTTGTGACCATTTCAAGAACTAACATCTTAAGCTGTAGCAGTCATTTCTGAATAAACTGCTGGGATTAAATATTTTTTCCCCCAGAAGCTCAATCAGCATAATTTTATTTTTACTAAATTTTTTGTTTGTTTTACTAGAAATGCAAATGATATCTTTATATATTTTTTAAACTCCAATCTCCAACTTGTTATGTAAGATTTTAGTTTGTCTAATTAAGTAATGTCTTTGGAAATATGGCATTTCAACTTCAATCAAGAGATTCTAGTATTTTTAAATTAAAATATATATAAAGTTTTAAATTTTTCTGCTCTGTGTCCTACTGCAGAAATCAATGTGCACTTCCTTTATTAAAAACATTTATTATCAAAAGTCATCTTAATGGCTTCATTAGCCAAAAACCTTTACCTCTCAAATTTATCATGGCATATAATCCTTTGTTAAAGAATATTGGTAAAGTGGTTGCAAATCCAGAGTTTTTTATTGCTTTTATTTATTTGACTCTTCCTGAAACTATCTTCATTCCTCTCAGGAGAATTTTAGTATTATATTTTCCAGAATTAATGACACAGAACACATTCTACTCTATTAACCCATGACTTGAAGAACATCAAACTTATTCTACTTTGATTCAAACTTGACTGTTAACACTGTTCCTCTATGGCTATCAGGTGGATACAGCTAACTTGTGCTTTGTTCCAGATTTTTTTCTGGCATCATCTTTAGACAGTACAATTATACACGGTTCAAGGAAACAAGGGCCCATTCTATCATATCAGTAACATGGTCAGTGGCTCCTTAAAAGTGAAATTAAACAATTCAATAATTCCTGAGCATGTCAAATATGAATTCTACAGAACCTCCCCCCCCTCCCCCACTACATATATTATTCACCTATGTTGCTAAATCTAACAGTCAATTCTTAGCCCTCACCTATTTGCTCTATCAGCAGCATTGGCACAATATGACCATATTTTTCTTTTAAAAAATTTTTTTTAGTTAATCCTCACCTGAAGATATTTTTCTATTGATTTTTAGGGAGAGTGGAAGAGAGAGGGA